AGGCAGCTGGAGTGGGAGTGGAAAGGCCATGAAATGTCCACAGTCCTGGCTGTGCCCACGGCCTGGGCTGCTCCTCCAGGCCCTGGCTGAGGGATTAGGGCTGATTCTCTCGGGAAGGGAATATTCCATGGGTGGAAGATTTACAGGCTCAGGGTGGGCCTTGTGTTAGTTTGGGGCAAATCCCTCAGCATTCCTGCTGCCAAGCCCTCAAAGGAATGAGGCAGAGGCAACCCTCACCCCCAAGACCCCTTTGTGGACATTTTAGCATCTACGTGATTTTTAATCCCTTCAGGGAGACTTTCTATCCTGCAGTCCCATCCCACCCCACTGTTGCTGTTTGTCTGCCAGCTGGGTCCAGCATCAAGGGGAAGGGGGGTTAATACTCACTGAAAGACTACTGACCCTACCGGGAAACCAACCTGTTTACTGTACTGTTGTAAATGTCATACCCTTTGTATCCTGTATATTGGCTTCTTTTAAATAAAGTGAAATGTCTTAGAAAAAAACAAAAGGTAAGGCAGGGCAGGACCCAGAAGACCCAAATGGGGAGTGCCACTCAGCCAGAAGCTGGCTCATGGCTGGCCAGCTCAGTGGTGGTGGCAGGAGCCTCTCCCACCTCTGTGGCAGCACTAAGAATGTCCAACTAATGGTTTAGACCTGATCCCTTGGGGGCCTAAGCCTTTAGTTGGACATCCCCCGAGGGCTCCCTGGCTGCCAGAAGGATGTCTGACTGCAAGGTTACTGATGATCCCCTGGGGAGTGGGCCTAAGTCAACAAGCGGACATCCCCCAAGGGGTCCTGGACTGTGACTGGGCACAGGCCAGGAGGGGACCCCTGTGCACCGGGCCTCTAGTCCTATATAATCCTATATAAAAAAAGGCTAATATGGAAATTGTTCCCACAGGAGTTCGACCGCTGGCTATGATGTGCACTGACCACCAGGGAGCAGCGTGGAATGAAGGAAGGCCCGAGTCGGCAGCCAGCAGGGCATGCAGGCGGGGGCACGAGGGAAGGAAGGCCCCAATCGGCCCTGGTTGCTGGCCAGGTCTAGGGCCTCTAGTGTATCTATCAGATCCATGTTTCTCTCTCTCCTTCCCTCTCTAAAAACAAAATCAATTTTTAAAAAGTGACAGAAATGTTTAGAATAGGCAAATAGATTGAGACAGGAAGTAGAATATATTAATAGGACTCAGAGGAGGGGAGTTACTGTGAAATGGGTATAAAGTTTTTGTTTTAGTGATGCAAAGTTTTGAAACTACATAATGGTTATCATTGCACATTAGTGTGATTGCAATTAATATCACTGAATTGA